CAACAGCAACCAGATGGAAGATGTCCATAGTCCCTTTTATTTTAGATCAAGGGCTATCCAGGATGAAGATATTATACAGTGTGCAGGAAGACAGGGCTTCAACCATCAAGGTGGCTGTCTAGAGTCACCATGTATTATTTTAGTAATCATTTTAATAATTTTTAAATGATTTTGCAGTTAAATTTTGCTCTTTAATGCAAGTTTATCTACCTGAGCCCTAGAGGAGAAGGTTTGGTGTAGAGGACGTTAAGCAAACTGTATCCCACTTAGGGAAGAATAATGAAATTGGAACTTTACCTAGGGCTGACCATTAATTTCAGTATGCAAACAGCAATTTAATTCTGAACAAAATAATGGGGGTGCAATGCTACCAGTGCAATCCTTTGTGAAGGATTCAGGTTTTTTAACAGCAGCAGCTGGAAGTAATTTTCAGGTGAAAAGCTGATTCAAGGGCCATGTGATTTGCAAGCTACCTGCTTCCTTATGTGACCTTTGTCAGCTTACTTGAGATCAGACCCATAAAAGGACTGAGGCATTGCCATGCCAGGTCCTCAGCTCCTAGAAGGGATTTTCCAAACCAGCTGGAGCACTTGCCTACACTACCCACTAGGCAAAAAGTCAGCAGTGTTGTGTGAATCAACAACCCTGAGCAGGGCTGCACCTGAATTAAGTAGTGGGAAATACCAAAGACCTGAGGCCCTTCTATGAACTTGTAGCCTCAGGTTAAACATCACTGCTGCCTTCCTTGATTTGAGTCCAGAGAAATCACCTACTGTTTTCATAGATAAGACAGAGCCAAGAGACAAAGCAATGATACTAATAGAACATTAAGCAACTACAGCAGACAGAAAATGGGAGACATCCAAAGCCCTCCTCTAGTGGAATGGTTTCCAGTGTGCATATCTTCCCTGTCCACTCACCTGTGGTCTATTTGTGACCTCTCTCTGCCCCTCCTGTCCGAGCTGGGACTCTGTGTCACGGTGAATATAATCTTCAAAAGCAAGTGACCCCACAGCACGGAGGGAGAAAGGGTTTGCTGGGTCCAGGTCCCACTCCCAGCCCTGCCACTGATGCCACATGTCCATAGAAACACTCCTAATGCAATCTCCTCCAGCTGTTTTTGAATGTCAAATGGTCATGGCTACTGTCCCTGCTGGAGCAGAACATGCCCAGAGCAAGGCAGCCTGAGGTCCTGGAAGGGTGGGAAGTTCCAGGCTGCCCCAGGGAAGAGATGATAGCTAAGTCAGCAGCATTTTGGGAAATCATCCCAAACAGACACCGGGCACTCCCTTCACTGGTGAGAATGCTGGTGTACACAGATTCCCTGATGGCTCAGCAATTGGGTGACTCAGTCTGGCTTTTAATGGAAATAAAAGCTCCTAATTGGATCTGTCTCTTCCTCTGCTAGCTTTTGACCTGAAATTTCAAATATCAGCCAAAACAGATGGAGAAATATAATTTTCCATCACAACTGATCTCATAGGAAAAGGCAGCCAAGAAAATGAGAAAGAATAGAGGAACTACTGGGTCTTTGGTCCATCATATTTCTTGTATTGCAAGAAATCATCAGGTTTAAAGGTCTTAAAAACTATTTCCTATTCTGAGATGAAAAGTGTTGTTGAACACATTGATATTTGTTTTTATCCATCACCTCTGTCAAAGGTACTGGCTTTCTATGACAAAGAATTGTCACTTTTAACTCTACCTTGCATGAAATACTGTATTTACAAGTGTAGAAATAAATGGATGTAAATTAATAGAAATGCTTAATTCTTAATAGTATAAATTTTAAATAGATAATAACAAATACACACACACACACACACACATATATATATATATATATTAATCCATGCATGATTCATTTGAAATCATAAATAATCAGATAATGGGTTTTGGTCCTGTGAAAATAAAGTTAAATAACAAATTCATTCAAGAGAAGGCACTTGTATTTAAATTTAGTTGTCAGTTTGTTAACTTACTCCTGCCAGTTGTAGTAGATTACCTGTGCATATCAAAATAGATACAAAAATAGATATTGAAATTGGAAAATGTTGTGAAATATGATGGCTGCAACAATTAATCTTATCTGATAACCAGCCACCTTCTCTCAGCTGCTGTAGCCAAGCAAGGAAATGCAGTGTCATAGCCTTGTTCTGACTAACTCGTAACTTGTTTACCAGTTAAAATCCACATTTCACTATTAGAGATTTGTTTTGTTTTGTTTTTATTTCACTGAACAAAGAAATTGCTTATTAAATGCACTACAACACTCTGTATTCATCTCATGGAAAGATTAGCATTGCTTAACAAATAGTTTCTATATAAAAACATATAACAAATAGCAAAGCAGATTTTTTATGTTATATATAGTCATCACATTGTATAACAGTTTAATATGTTAATCCTGAACATTCTTTTTTCCATATTACAGAAGAACCATTCTACAGAGGAATCCAAATCACTGTCAATACCTCCCATGAAACGCACTTCTCCAGTCTAAATAAAAACCATTTCCTCAGACTAAACCAGCACCCCGTGTCCCTTCACACTCGCTGCAGCTCCCAGAGCTGCCCACCTGGTGCTATGTGTCACTTCTCCCACCTCAGCCTGTATATGTGACTCACACACACCCTTACAGCACTCAGTGCCAAAGTGGGCTCTAGCACCTCCTTTAAGCACAGGCACGATGCCTCTCTCCCTGCAGCTCTGCTTTTCTGGGCTGAATGCAACCCAGCAGATTTCAGCCAGGGCGCTGCGAGCAGTCCCCAGCCCTGCTGCCAGGAACAGTGTGTGTGAAACGACAGCAACATTAAATGAAGGTGTCAAACGTGATTCAAATTATTCTCCCTTGAGGACTAGGAGAGACCTTTAATAGTAACTCATTTCTATTCAGAGGCTTCCTTAACCTGTAAGAAGTCACAAGTCTTGAAGGTCAAATAAGGCCCCAGGTCCATCCCAGCAGCAAAACCATAGTATTGCAAGTCAGTAACATCCCAAGCAGAAAGTGTCCCATTGCCTACACAGCCTGTAATGATTTAGACAGGTATTTAGACTTAGGTCTCCCAAATCTTGTGACAACCTACAGATATTCCCATTAATGGCTTATAAATGACCAGATAACTAAGGCCAGAAACAATCACTGTAATGATCAAATGAATTTCTACATGCACATACCATGATACTTCAGCAAGTGACCCAAATGTTAAGTTCCTAACCACCATCAAGGCCTTAACAAGAAAATCTCTGTGCTAGGGTTGCAATTGCAGTTAGACCTATTAAACTTTCACAGCACAAAATACCTCACAATAGATGTTGTTAATTGGCAGTGGATACACAAATGCCTGTGGCAGATCTAAGACAAAGGTCTGAGAATGTGTATTTCGGTGTCACTTTAGCTGAAGTAGATGACTAAAAGGGACAGATGGCAATTTCCTGTCGCTGGGGCTGCAGCACACAGGCAGGTTCTCAGCTGCTACACACTCTTCTCAACTTCTTTCCTTTGGTCTAGAAATCATGCCTGGGCTTGTCGGTCTGTGACACGAGATTCTGCCTACATTTTCCATGACTCTGCAGTTCTCATGCTTCTCATGAGTCTGTTTTCAGAGTTCCTGTGAGCGAGAGCAGCAGCAATAGCTCACTCCTTAGAAATATTTCTTTCTACATATCTGCAAATATGTACTGAGAGACACACTTTGCAGTTATGGAATTCATGTTCCTCTTAAAAATAGGAAGGTTTTAAAAGCATGAAGAGCTGTTTTGTACAGAGCCATTTAAGATTTATTTTTTTTTTTTAATAAAAGGAGGTTGTCTGAGAGTTTGTATTTAATTCTCTTCAGCAAACTGTGGTGTACTGGAACTTGCTGAAAATAATCAGAGTATTTTAAAAATTAAAAAATTATAATTAATGCAAGAGACAATATCTAGCTGTTTTCTACATTCATATTGAAAAGAAAATTTTTCTATTCCTCAAAAACTACTAAGTGAATATTTTTATAAATTATCAGAACTGTGCCTTGGATTTTTTCTTCAGTGACAATGCATTACTAGCTCATGAACTATTTCAGAGGGAAGTCCTCCCACAACAAAACAAGACAGGAACAATGCATAAGCATGCCTGCTGTTCCAACTTTAATAAAAAATCCTACATTAAAAAAATCTTAAATACACTTCAAAAGACAAATTTAATTACCCTGCACAGAGCAAATTTCTCAGGCAAGGGTCTCAAGCGAAGAGCAATTACATTCATAACTGAAGTATTCTGCATTGCAGAAAGCAATGATTTTGATAATTTTTCCCTTTCTTTTTTTTTTTTTTCTTGGCAACTTTGTGTCTCCCTAGCCTCAACAGGTACAACTATAATCTCATCACGGCACCGCTCCACAGGCTGCCGGGATTTGTTTGATTTGTTAACTTTGGACACGGCTGCCTTTTAGTTCTCCCTTTATCTGGGTGTGTAACGAGGTACCAAAGGAGGGAAACGCACGGAGCAGTCCCGGGGAGAAGCGAAGGCTCCACACCGCTCCCCATGGCGTCTGCTCGCTCTACCTTCCCGGCAGCAGGCTCGCTTCAGGGGATGCGGCGGAGCACCACAGCGCTGCCGGGGCTGCTGTGCCGCTGGACCCACGCCCCGGCCGGCGTTTCCTAGGAGGCGGCCCCGGGCTCCGGCTGGCTGAGCCCTCGCTCGGGCTGGCGGGCTGCGGGGCGCTCTCCGGGCGGAGGCAGGCCCGGCTTTCCCGCCCGGCGCGGCGGGAAGGGCGCGGGGGGAGGGCGGCGGCGCCAAGAAAAGGAGCGAAACGGCTCCGCGCGGGCGGGAGTCCTGGTCCCGCGCGCCCGATCCCGCGCGCCGCCCGCCCGCGCCGAGGTGAGGGCGCGGAGCCCGCCGAGCCTCCCGCCCTCCTTCCCTGCCTCCCTCCTTCCCTCCCTCCCTCCCGGGAACGCAGCCCCGAGCAGCCGCGCTCCCCGCGCCTCCCTCCGGGGACGGGAGCGGCTCCTCTTAAGAGCCGGGCTAAAAGCGCCTTCTCGCTTTGCAGATGGAGGTGAGCGTGCTGGCGCTGCGGGACCTGGCGAGCGCCCGGCCGGGGCGGCGGGGCCGCGCCGAGGCGGCCCAGAAGGTGAGCGGGAGCGCGGCGGGGGTGCGGGGAGGCGAGGCGGAGGGAGGGGGCGGCCAGGGCGCCGCGGGTGCAGGGGCGCCGCCCGGGGCGCCCGCCGGGGAGCCGGGCTCTGGATCGCGCTGCTGCGGCTCCCTGGGCAGCCTGCGAGGTGCTGCCCATCGGACTGCTCTGCCCTGTTACTGTGCGGCAGCATCTTCCCTGTGAGCACCTGGGGCACTGGGGTGTCCAGCGCCACCCTTAAGGTAAAGAAATGACCCAGTGTAAGAAGCCTGAGTCGTGCCCCCCGTGTCAGTGAGTGAAGTGATTAGATTCTGGCACTAAGCTGGGAAGCGCCATTCAGCTTTCCCTGAGTAGAACTCGCTCAGTGATCTCAAGTATCCCAATGGTTACCGTGTGGTAAGGGGGAGAAGGCTCTCGTAGAGACTCATGATTCTAAAGGTAAGAACCTTCTTAACTTGGCACAGGAATAGTACAGTTCTGTTAATTAACAGTAGTTTGAGCACACTCATGGCTACATCCACTATGCTTGCCTTCTGGCCTGTATTCATAAAGTGGAGTTCTCCAGTCAAGAGGCTAAGTAGGGCCACTCAGCAAGGCACAGTTCATTGTTTCCCTACTGCCTCACCAGCCAGGAGACACCTATGTAGCCTTGGGCATAACCTTGATCAGTAATGTCTCCTGAACTGGATGCAATTCATGACCTGTTGTCCAGGCTCAGTCTGAGTCCTCCAAAATTCACACAGTTCTTATCAGATTCCACTTCTCTTATATCAGAGATTTTTTTCAATTCCTGCTCACATACTAAGTTCATCAGGCTGGCCTTTCCTGTCCTCTATCTCATACTTCAACTAACTGCCCTTGAGATTTTGTGCAATACAGGTAGGACTTCATAGAGTGTTGCAGCTACTGAAAAAAAAAAAAGGGGGAGAGAGGGTAAAAGTGTTTCTTACCTTAATAGGTAATTATGATAGTAAAAAATTAAGATCTGATAGTAGGAAACAATGATTTGAAAGGGCATAGTCATGTGCTTTTCGTTGTGGTATTTGCACAAACATGAAGATCTGAGGTATTGAAACAGCAGGTTGCTTCAGCTGCCCTCACTGCAGTTCCACTGCCACCAGCCATAAGGAACAGGAACTTTAGGGGAAGATAGACTTTCTGCATTACTTAAGGGTTGATTCACTGCCAAACGTGAAATTGCAAGAAAATATTGAGTGCCAACACTATATGAATATCTATTCCAAGGCCTCTAAATTGACCCCTATTTATCACAGTGTAATAAGTTACAACTGGCTGACTGTTAGTTGTAAAAAAAGAGATGTATTTATTACATCCTTTTGGGTAATCCATAGATGAATGTATGCAGAAGTGTTCATCAGTGCTCAGAGCACAATGCTTTTGGCATGCCAAATTTGTCTCTAGTCTGAATGCTACAAAACTGCACCTAGAAAAAGCCAGTTTCAGTTGTTACTAGAACTTTTTTCTACTTTCCAGCTAGACTGTGTCTGCTAGGATGACCTTTGGAATCACCTATTTAAATATATTTCAGCTACAGAATAGTTAAATTACTCCAAGTAAAAGGCAAAACTTAAGAAAGTTCTTATGGTAATCCAGTATAAATTAATATTTTGTTTCAGGCTTTTATTTAATTTCTGAATTGGATTTCTTACAGCACAAAATAAAATATATTAAGGATACCAATAATGCTTCCTTCAGTGCTTCCTCTTTGAAGGGAGTTCATCTGTAGTGATCATTCTTGCAGTAAGAGAAAGGGATCCATAGCTGAAATACAAAAAAAGTTTGATGGCAGCTAGGGACTGGAAAGAATTGAGCTTCATTCAAGAAATTATAAAAATCAGTTGATGCATCAGACTTTTCCTCCTACCAGCTCTTAGCTGTAGTCAAGGAACAGTTATGAAGATTTTCTTGGTTCCTTTGGGCAGCAGACTGTGCAGATGCAAAACTTGCCTTGCTTGCACATGAGGTTATGTTCCCTTTAGTTTGATATTTTATGAGTTTGAGCTGCACCCCCAGCATTGCTTTTAACCTGGGACCTTTCAAACAGAACTCTATCTTCTTGCTAAGTGTAATGTGGCCAGTGCATGATTTCAGTTTCCCTGCAATTTGGTGATTTATGTTTGTGGGCAATGCTTTCTTGTAAGAACAGTCAGAGTTTAAAAGCCTAATAGGCCACAGGTTAGACTGGTTGACCTCAGGGTCTGCATTTCAAGGCAGTATCTCAAATACACTTCTTCCAGTATAGCAGCATGTAGAATATTTTAACATTCCAAACAAAGGCAGAAGAACTGTGCTAAATATAGCTGAGTGCCAAGGCACAACTCAGTAAAAATAACTTCATAAGAATCACAAAATTGATTGATGGAATGGTTTTTTTCTCTTGTGTCTAAAAAACTTTGTTTTTAATAGGAAAACATATATGATCGATCCAGGATGGCCCCAAAGACTCCCATTAAGAATGAACCTATTGATTTATCGAAGCAAAAAGGCTGCACACCGGAAAGAAATCCAATTACACCTGTTAAGATCATTGACAGACCTCAGCCTGATCCCTGGACTCCTACTGCTAACCTGAAGATTCTTGTTAGTGCTGCTAGTCCTGACATGAGGGACAGGGAAAAGAAGAAAGAGCTCTTCAGACCCATAGAAAACAGTGAGCAGAGTGACACACCTGATTCGTTACAGGTGAGACTCAGAACACAATCACCTTATATTCAGTTAGGATTCAGACCTTCCTTAAGTTGCTCCTCAGATTTCTTCCAACTGATTCTTTGCTTCCTATGGAATGGTGCAGACCTGTAAGACATTCCCAAGGACAGCTGCCTACATGGCAGTGTCTGAGCAGTAGGACTTCAAAAGTAGCTGTCTTACTAGTAATTGACCTGAGATCCCCTCAAGAGCCTGAATATTATTTAAAAGGACAATGAAGGAAGTAGAGCTTAAATGTTTAATTTCCCCAAGTGAAGTACTTTTGGACCACGTTAGAAAGCAAATTGCCAGATCTGTTTTAAACAAGCATCCTTTTCAAAAATAAATTTGACAGTGAGAGAACATACTCTCCAAATCTTAGACCTCATCTGCAACTGTCCTGCAAAAGCTTTTTTTTCCCACTTTCACCCCCAGCTCCCAAACTAGTGGTCAGAAAGCAAGGTCAAGCATTAAAATCTCTACTTCACAAGACTTAGGCAATGCAGGTTGATTCCTGTCCTCACTTCATCAAGTCTGTCCCTGGAGAGAATGACATCACACTGTAGTAAGCATCATTGCAGTTTTCTTCCTTCATGCTCTTTTTTTTTTTTTTTTTTCCAACCACTGCTTTTCCTGTCCTGGTTTATTTCTTGTAGGATATCCTTCCCTGTTGATTTCAGCTACAGGATAATAGTTCTGGGTCCTTCTACTGAGAAGTATCATTTCATAGGTACAGATCACTCTGGAAGTGTAGTTATTACAGCAACTGCAGTAGCAACAGTAGTGTAAAAATTCTGCAGTTTTCATAGTCATAACAAAGCAAACAGTTCCCTAGAGATCATTCCTAACATAGTGTCCATTAAGTAAAAAATAGTTGATGTTTAAGGCTGGTTCATTACCACTCCAAGCGTGTTGAGATCACACAGCATTTTTGGGGTGGCTACTATAAAGAGTTCAATTATTTTCTAGTTAATAAAACTTTCATTTAATAATCTTCTACACTTAGAAGGGTAACATGCAAAAGAAGGAAAAATTTTAGAGTAAGAATACTGCTATTTCCATCCCACATAAAACTCAGTTCTATCAGAGCACCAGCCTGCCACAAGGTAACTTACTTGCAACTAGCTAAAGACAGTTTAAGATCCCATAAACTGGGAAACACAGCTTTCAACAGCTGCTACCACCTTCAGCTTTTCTTTGCTAGAGGGCAAGACTTCTTTTCCTTTTTATAACAGAAGATAACCCCAGAGTTACCAGTGCAAAATAATCCTCCATCATTCTTGTTTTGTGATAAACAAACATACCTCTTCCTACATTCTTGCCACCATGGTTTTGCTGGTTTCTGTTTTTTTCCCACTGCAGGGTCAGTAAGACCACTTTCAGACCATCCTACAGAATTACTTAAGCTAACATCTTGACTAAGTTTAAGGTTGAAAGACTGAACTAGCACCTTTTATAGTCTCTGATTAAAGTGCCCCCACCCCGTCACCAGTTTCTTGAAGTGATAGAGTCACTATAAAAGTCAGCAAACAGAGGTATGGCAGGAACTTCGTGATGGCTTCTGCATCTCCTCTTTTATTAGATCCAGAAGTGTTTGAGAGCATATTCTTCCTTGTTTCCAAAGGAAATACTCTTTCCAAGTATAATCTTACCATCTGGTAGTCTTGAATGTTGATCTTACTGGTTTTTTTCCTTATGCATGACCACTATTTCGTGATTGCACAGATAAGAATTTTTCTGTAGCTATGTTGTGCGATGAAATAAGAAGAGCTTGCAATTGTGTTATCCAAGTGCTCTGTACTTTCAAGGAGTCCATGTTTTTATTTTTTAATTAGAAAATCTGATCTTAAATATTGCTAACGTCTGAAATAAGCCTCTCTTGACTATGTCTTGCTTTTAAAAGCTCTGCACTAAAGGGTTAACATTTATTTTTTAACAGTATGCTATAGTAGATGACAGCACGGTTGATGAATTTGAAAAGCAGAGGCCCAGCAGAAAAGAGAAAAGCTTAGGACTCTTGTGCCAAAAGTTTCTAGCTCGCTATCCAAATTATCCATTGTCAACAGAGAAAACTACCATTTCTTTGGATGAAGTGGCTTCAATTCTTGGTATGTACACCTGTGAAACTGGGGTAACTGATCACCTGGGGTAACCTAACAGGTGGGCCTTCCAAAGATCATATTCTAACAGACTGCATTCAAGATCTGCCTTTTCCAGGGTCTGGCTGCTCTTCTAATCATACTAATCAAGAGTTGGAAATGCCTAATATTCTTCAGTGTCTTTGTTGTTTGGTAGCACTACCATTTTGAAACCTGCTCTCTTTCTGCACTTTTTACTAGACAGATCTTGCTTCCAGCTGTTTACCATCTCTGTTGCTTTCTTAAATATTCAATTTGTTGAACAATGAAGGAGATAGGACTTACAGACATCAAATTTTGTCAAAATGAACAAACTGGTATGCATAGGAGATCAGTTGTTTACTCCCTGACTTGTGAACATGTTTGACATCATATCTTCTGAGATCACATGGTTCATCAAGGTTACCTTAGCTTTGAGTATCACCTTGTGACAGCAAGGCCCTGGGAGAACTACAAGAGCACCATGAGAAAATGTCTTGTTTTGAGTAGCACATTTGCTGGTTCTGCTGTTAAGTTTGGTTTTAGTTGAAAGATTAATTAAATATATGCAAGAACTAATAAAACTTAGGAGAGAGGACTCACACAGGACACATTAATAACAAAAATATCTGAGTCCTTGGGAGAGGTTGTTTCTTAGCTAGGAGAGGCTTTACAAAATTGGACTTAAACTAAATAAATCTTGTATCTACATTTAAAACTCAGGTGTTAACAGAAAAGATGTGGCAAATTTTTCTGGTTTGGGAAGAAAAGGAACAGAAGAATGATGTCTTCTGTGACTGTTAAGAAAGGCCACAAAATACCCATTTATTTCCCTTGGTAGAGTGAATTGGAAATAGGATAGAATACAGATTAGGTAAATAGATAAATTATTTTTTAAATTAATGGTTCTTTAGATTCTGCAGTTACTCCTTTATGTGTTTGCATGAGATGCTCATACTTCAGCCTTGTACAGCTGAACACGAATAGTGCTCTGTTCTGTGTTGGGAGTGGCATTGCCTTGCTTTCCTGAATAACAGAAACTTTCTTGTAAAACTTACTGTTGGAAATTTTACCTCCCAGAAAAGGGAAGGTTTTGGTTGTCCTTCTCCCTTTGGTTTTCCCTTCTTTGCTTGTGTCCATTTGCTTCAGTGACCACAAAACTACCCCCTGCTGATGTTGCTGCTCTCGATGTAACAAATGATGTCTGTGATACAGCTTTTGCTACAAATGTATATTGCTTTGTTCAGGGAAGACATGTGGAAGGCCACAAAGGGGGCTGTGCTGCTGGTGTCTGACAGACACCAGAATATGTGTAACACTCTTGTTTTTCTGAATTATGTTTCGCTCCAAATTCTTCCCACACTTGGAAATACTCATGAATTGTTTCACCCAATATATGTTTGAGGCTGGCAAGTATTATGCCTATTCTTCAAATGGGTAACCAGGTACATTATGGCCTTGCCTCCCACAGGGAGGTTTTCAAAACCTTTCACCCTAACTAGCACTTGTTCTGCTCAGCTGATGTTAACAGTTAGAAGATTTTTGGTGCAGGTGCTGCCAACAGCTTATAGTACATTGTGTTACATATAACAGCCATGCTTCAAACAGCGCCAGACACAAGCACTTAGGACAGCATTGCCACCAACCTGTTCATATTCAGTCCTCAACCTTGCTCACATCAGTCAGGCTGAACTCAAGTTGGACATATTTTATAAATTTCCTACAGGACTAGACCCAGCCAGCATGGATAATTTGTTTCTGTTGTGTTTGAGAACAGTAGGTCTCATTCTATGCCCCTCTGCACCTTGTGAAACTGTTGATGCCCCTTTACTTGGTAAAAAACTGCACTCCCCCCGTATGAGGGGCTTTTATCTCTGTGCTGTGACAAACCCTTTTCTGCCCTGTTACACACAGGCTCATGTACAGCTATGTGTCTGAGTGCTGAAGCTCTCTAAGGAAGAGCCAAAGTGCTCTGAAGACCCTGGGACTGTTGGGGTAGGTCTGAGTGAATGGGGCTGGCAGACTGCAGCCAGTTCTAAACACAGTGTAGGTGCTTTGAGCTGCAGCCATGGCTGGGCTGGAAGTTAAGAAAGTGGACAAGGAGCAACCTACTGTGAAGCTGGCCACACATAAGGCAGATTTTCCATGGGCAAATATAGATGTATCTAATAGAATGTGTCCACGTGAACAGTGAAAATGTCTGTTAGAGAACAACCTGTTCTCTGTTTGCTTCTGCTGAACTAAGATGAGCATCTATGTCTTTTTATCTGCTCCCCCCCACTTCCCAAACAGGAGTTGAGCGGAGACGAATTTACGATATCGTGAACGTCCTGGAGTCATTGCAGTTGGTCAGTCGTGTGGCCAAGAACCAATACTGCTGGCATGGCCGGCACAACCTCAGCCAAACTCTGAAAATGCTTCAGGAGGCAGGAGAGCTGCAGTATGGAGAGTTAATGACCTCCCAGCACAAGGAACAGGACTTAGAATACAAACTTGGAGAAGTGAAAAAGGAAACTATTCCAGATTCTCAAGACAGACCATTACTGGACTTTTCAGAAGCGGATTGCACCTCTGGTAGGATGATTACTAAAAGTGTGATGATAAACAGACACAAAATCTCTTTCTCCAGTTTAGTATGTCTCTTTTTCCCTTTCTTTGACTCAAAATTAAATAATAAAAAGTTATCCTTTGCAAAAAGGTGCTGAATTCACCATGGAAGGTACAGAATTCTTCCTTCTGTTCTGTCACTAACATAGGTCTCAAGACAGATTTTTCTCTCTGTCTTACAGACTGGCAGGAAGTTCTGCTGAATAATCCAGTTCTTTCCCCACCTGTATCTGAGAGTAAATGCTTTATCCTGTGAGAAAGAACCATCTTCGTTTTGCATGCTGCCCATATAACACATGATGGTTTTAAGTTACAAAGTCTATTAGAGTCACAAAATTACAGTGGCACAAAACTGTGTAGCATAACATAGAATCAGCTTTGGAATTTCACTTTCTAAAAGCTATTTCTGCAAGTTTGAATTTTTATTGCCCTTTGAAGAGAGACTCCTGTCTGCATTAATCAGTTATTTGCTGCCTTTCAATTAATTTCTGCTTTCTGGAAAGGAAATACTTTACTTATTTTGTGTGTGAGAAACCTCCTTACTAGCTTTCTGGCTGTCATGGATGACATATGCTAAAAGGCTTGGGTATTATTTGTAACACAGCATCTGCAAACAGCAGAAAGGACAAGTCATTGCGGATTATGAGCCAAAAGTTTGTCATGCTGTTCCTTGTCTCCAAGACCAAGATAGTCACTCTGGACATCGCAGCAAAGATACTGATAGAAGAAACCCAGGATACAGTGGACCACAGCAAATTTAAAAGTAAGATGGCTAATGAGAGGCAAATCAGTCAGTGAGTAAAGAAAATGGGGCATGTTTGGACTGACAGCAAACAGACACCAGTATGTAACAGCAAAAGCAATTCGTGCATCTTTTCCTGGAATATTGTTCTGGGGTTTTTATATTGCACATGCATATTTGTGAAAAAGAGCTTGGTGTAGGGAAGAGTCAATTTGACAATTGTCTCCCAAGTTCAGCTTCAGCATAAAGAAGAAAATGCGTTGTTGATTTTTTTTTTTTTTATACTTAAACCCTGTTTCCTGTACTGCTCTGAATGATGTTTCAGAACTGAAGCATGTTGTTTAATTTAATGGAATTAATTTTCTCTCTGGAGAAATATGTTCCTTCTCCTTTTTACCCCAGAAACCTTTTACAGCTGGATGACAGGTTTGCTTTCCGTTAGTGAGGATTAGTACTTCAATCCCTTAGATAACATGGGAGAACTTAGCATTAGTAAATAAATCTTCTGAGATAAAGACTTTTAAGTCTTTAAAGTACTTTTAAAATAAAGTGCTTGCACTTCAGTCTTGAAATTCTACACCAAGTATAAGAAGAAATGTGAGGAGTTTAGCTGGAAAATATGTGGGTATCATAGTCAGTTCCAAGATGTTATTTACTACAATCACAGAGATTTTTCTGAGTGTGTCACATTTTTAGAAATTATAAGTAGGTGTCTTCTTGTGATCAGCTGTGCACTCTTGTGCCGCTTTTCGCCAGCTTCTCTTTACCCACATGGAGGTAGCTGCCTTTTCTGGGCAAGTTGCTATAATCACTCCCTAACCTATATCCATCAAAATGAGGTAGACGAGTTTAAACCTCAGCAGCTAAGCTATGAAGTAGCAGTGACAATCAGGTGGGAGCTGGCAGACTTCATGGGAGGTGCCTAAGTCCATCTCAATTTGATTTTGCCCACCTCGTCTATGAAAGCTGTGGTGATAGTTTGGAAGGAAATAGGCACGTGGATATGTTCTATATGCATTGTAAACCTGACTGTTATCTACTCCTGCCCTTTCTGGTTAGCAAAGGTACGAAGACTGTATGATATCGCCAACGTTCTCACCAGCCTCGGCTTGATCAAGAAAGTCCACGTCACAGAGGAGCGAGGACGCAAACCAGCTTTCAAGTGGATTGGGCCTGTGGAATTCCCTGAAAAAACTGGTAACTTGCATTTATTTTCTTTTTGCTTTGGCAGTCCCTTCCCAAGCGGTAAAAGGTTGCTTTCTGTTTGTAGAGAATGGCTCAGCATACAATGCATACCCTGTGATTATTAATTGCTGCCAGCTCAACATTTGCCCTTGTTAGACTTTGCACCCAAGATCTGGGTCTGTGGAGGGGTGTTGAAGGACACTGTGTCTTGTAGGTATTTAAACGCTGACTGAGATAACTGTATGCATAACTGTGTGAATTGTAGAGCAATAGCAGATAGCACTGACATCTTCAAGTCTGGGTCCACAGCTGTTCTGGGTTGCAAAATTTTGGTAATTCCTTCATAATTATACAGTGAATAATTTTCTTTGTAAGGGCCTGTAACAAGGTAGAGCAGGGCTGTTTCTTGCATATGGCCCCTTCTACAAAAGCTTTGTCTGCTAAGAACAAGGTGGTGGGATAGCCCATCTCTGTAAGATTATGTTCCTTGGCTAGAAGCCAGAGCAAAGAGAACCCTTTGGCTTTGATATTTGCATCAGGACAGTGCCAGGAACAAGTGAAATGAAGGATAATATAAATACTATCTTAGTACACTTTCTTCTCCTGGCTAGCACACTGGTATGTAGCTGCTGCTGTAGCTGCTATGGAATGGATAGGAAGGAAGCCCTTACCTTGTCTACTGGTGCTTACTGAATTCTAGGTTTGTTTCAGTTTGTGAGGTTTGAGACAATATAGAGGTTGCCTCTTCCCTTAATGCCAAGTTTGGTAATATGGCAGGAGCCTAAACAATGAGCTGTGTTGCCTGAAGGACTGTTGTACAATATTGTGTCCTTACAGATGAGCTGAGAAGTCATAGCCCAACATCAGATCCTCTGTCAGAGACACAGACAGGAGCCTGTGCCCAGTACCAGACCAGTGCTACTGGAAAGCAAAGGTTTACACGTCACGCTTCATTTAACAGTGCACAGCCTTGTGAGGCAGCCAGAAGGGAGGTCAGTTCTGAGCCTAACAGCCCACGTCAAGAGAGGCAAGGTAACTACTAATGAAGCATGTTCTTTTCTGTCCCACTGGACCTGCCCACATGAGGGCATGCACCAATTTAAGGCACTTGATTGGGTGAATCAGTATAATTAAATACGTGAACTACTCTTGGGAGATACCTATATTTCTACTGTGCACATGATAATGAAACTTCTGGTGTAGAACCTCCAGTCAAATTCCTAAAGTTACATGAGGTGAATTTGGGCCATACTGCAATTGAATCTGCAGTTTATTTTCTGCAGGTAAATGTTTCTGTTCTGTACTAACTGCAACTATACTAGTTTCTTCTGTGAGAACTTGATTAAGAAAAATTCTTTAGCCACAAAATGCTTGTTTTATTTTATGGTTCCTAATATAGTGAAATTTACTGTAACAATGTAATGGACAGTTGTTAAAAAAGATAAAGTAATTACAGCGCTTTTCACAGTTCCCTCTTATAGGAAATGATGATGTTGAACATGTCTCCAGTGGGACTGAGAGTTCTGAGTGTATTGCAGGTTCTGGCTCTAGGTGATTAGTGGATGTTATAAAAATGTGTCAGGACTGAAAAATTATAGCAATTATTTTATATGGCCAGTATCAAAATATGCTTGGTAAACCTGTCTGTGATTAATTGAATTCCTCTTTGTTCTTTCAGCCTGTATCGTGAATTCAGATGAAAATTGTTCCGAAATGATAAATCTAGCAGCTATCTGCAGGCCGAAAATAGAAGAAGAAGAAGATACTGGGTGGGTTGGTCTTAGCTGTTGTCTAGTTGCAGCTTTGTGCTTGTCATGTTTAGTTTAAGGATAGATTCCATTGATGAGACTGAGATAAAAGAGTTGCCATAAAGTCTCGTTATTACAATTTTAATATTGCTGGATGTCAGCACGGCCTTTTTTTCCCCATGGTCATTTTACACCCATCTGTTCTTGTACCAGTATTGGTGTTTTGCTTCAGTATTTTTTTCTGTCGTATGTGTTAATATAGGTAATTCCTGCATCCTTTGACTTATTGTCTGGGTAGGTTGAGCAAATTATGATTCCATGGAAGGGCATCTTTGTCTGTCATCTGTCCTATTCCAATTTGTATTAATTTGTGAATGATTGACTAGTCAAGTGCAGCCAAAAGCATTATTGGTCTATCAGAAACCTGAGAACTCTGCTTCTGTGATAGCAGAAGTGATAAAACCCTTCTTGTAAACTGTATAAAAATTGTTGTTTGAGGGTTGAATTTTTCCACATTTATGTCCAAATATATATCTCTTTGCTTCTAAGGATAAAATAGGGGTTTAATTTTGGAATAGATGTTTTTCCTATTTTCATTACTATTTGGGTTTTTTTGTTTTTCAGGAATAAAGCTTGTGACACTGAAACGATACTAACTTCATCAAAGAACTCCAACATAAGCTTACCTTTCTCCCTTCTTCCGGTTCCTGGGGACTCTGATTTTTGTGTCAACCCTTTGCCTCAGGCAGTTTTCCCTGTAGTTCAAGCAGATGTGCCAAATTTCTCACTACCAAATGGTATCAGCAGCCAGGCTTCACACCCTTCCACTCCAGCAGCCTCCAAAACAGAAAATGGAAAAGCTACCCTGCTCCCCAACCAACCCTTCCTGTGTTTCCCATCTTCATCCCTTTTTATGTTGTGTGGTGGTCTTCAGGAAAATAACTTAAGGGAGCACCTGCCCACTGCAGGAGACCTGGGAAACAGGAGTGCAGAAGCTCAGGCTGCTGTACCTCCCTCTGGCTGCCAAAAGCGCAGCTCCCACACGTGCTCATCGCCCTCTGCACCTGTAGATGATGAAGAGCCAGCTGCCAAAAAGCAAACCTTGGAGCACAATGATCTGCCCCTCTCACTTGTAGTACCCAAGGTAAAGCGAATTTCATTATCACTTAGGCTTTCTCATAGTAAGGAAAGGTTTTTGTCTAATTCATTGTTTTCAGAAGGGAAATTTCAGTACACTGCTCTTGAGAGATAAAAATGCTATCGCCCACATGTTAATAAACTTGCAAGTGGGCTGTGTCAGGAAGTATGAGCATTAACTGGGAGATGTTTTCACGTCACCAGGGGAAAATGGACTTGGGTTGCTTTGCATAGTGATGTGATGCTCAGCTGTTCTTTGGAAGTAGCATCCTGATCATTTTCTGCAGAAAAAAAAATTTGGTCAGAGAGGAAGAAATCAATGTAATTACTACTTCTCATCTTCCCCTGTTAGCTTGGGCTTTCCCAGACAGCAGCAGCGTTGCTTACTCTACTGAGCTATAGCAAATGTGATTTGCTCTTCAGCCTGAGTACCACTCTGAGGCCCAGTGTTGCCCACAGCAGGCTGGTGACAGAAAGATAATGATGATGAAGGTGATGTGCAGTTATCTCAGAATTCTCTTAAATACTGAAAGTAGGGGTCAAGCTCAACACCATGTCATATAAGCCATTTGAATATTGAATATAAACCACTTGAATCAAGTGTTTTTCCTTATCAATAAAAAAGTAATCCCAGAGGTCAGGTATTTCTTATGTAGTGTATCCAAGTACTGAATGTGAACTGCAGCAAACGGTACAGAGTTTAGGCATCACTAATATGACTCTTCAAGTCCCCAAACAAAACTTTAAACTTGGTGGTTTTCTAATCAGGTTTGTGCTGCACCTTTGCACAGATGCATGGGGAGAGTTCATGAGAGGTATTGCACTGTTTTATTTCAGTTTGGACTCTTCATTTCCACTTTTGTTTTTTGTTTAGAAGCCTTCTGAGTCACCCAAGGCAGAATCTTCCCCAGGAAGTGGCTGTTCAGCTGCTGTACATCGAGAAACAAATCGTCTTGACCTTGCAAGTCCTGCTGCTCCAGAGGTGGCAAGCAAGGAGTCCACTAAGCCTTTAGATTGTCAGGAGCAAGAAAAACAATCTCAGAACAACGACCCTGATGAACCCCCTCCTGGAAATGAGCACATCTCTGAAGAAAATGCCAATCAACCTTTCCAACCCCCTCCTAGAAATGAGCACATCTCTGAAGAAAATGGCAATCAACCTTTCCAACCACAGTATTTTTATGTTCAGCCTCCTACTGGTAAGGACAGCCATGAGATCTAGAGGCACCCAAACCTCTGTATCTGTTCACTCAGCAAATACTGAGTCCTACAAATAGGTGAATATTTGGCATAAAAAACCCTGACAACAGTTCTCTGTAGTAGTTCAGTAACTCTGAAATCTCTTGACTCAATGTGAACTATTGTCCTCTGAAAAGAGACATTTTTCTGAAGTACCCAAACATTAATAGCATTGAACAATGTGGGATTTGCATGCCTGAATTATGTGCAAAACACAGTTATGAATTCTGAATTATGTACAAAAAAGACAGTTATCCAGCATTCAAAACTCAAAGAAGCTGGAAGTCTAGATTTAGCAGAAAGCTGACCAATATAGAACAGCAGCATCCCCTGAGTGTATGAATTTCATCGCCTTCAGACTTTGTACTGTCTTGTAACATGCATTATCAGTATAACCCTGAAACCCAAGGCACTGGGAATGCAGCCAGCCCTGCTTGTATGACACTGTGGGGATCTAGAGGAAGCCACTGAAAATACTGCAATGGGATTTCGTGTCCACTGTGTTTAGTGCCTGTGTTTGTGTGCAGTGGATGACTGCTTTGTAGAACAGGATGTGTGGCAGATTTCCATGACTACTGCTTTAGTCTTTGATTCACTCGTGACACGGAGTTGGGTCTATGGCATTTCACTTAGGCTGAAGATGCTCAGTTTAAAAATGCTGAACCTGGTGTTTTGGAAGGTCAGACAAGATGGGAGCCAGAGCAGCTTCTGCTTCAACACAGTAGTTCAGCTGTTCTCAGCAAAATTAATGCCTCTGTGATATATCCTTGTGGGTGTCTCCCATTTGTTGGGTTTGGTTTGTCTGAGTTTTTCTTCCTCATTAAAAGTAATGTCCATGTTTTCATATAGCAGAGGATGATTCCAGTTAGTGAAAAAAAAGTTTGTTTAGCCAGGATGTTGCTTGTAATCAAAGTTAGAAGCAGGAAACAGCAAGGGGTGTGGTTGGTGCTTCATATGACCAAAGTAAATGGATGCAGGTACAGTAAATAGACAATTAGGGGGGGAAATGGAGGCAAATAAGGAAAGGGAGCTGGATGGAAGAGTTAGGAGATTTTGACACTTTTCTTCCTTATTTTTCATTGGTTTTGTCATAGTTTACTTTCTAGGCAGACTTTTCTCTACTGTCACACGCTTTTCCTATTGTAGATGAAGTTACAGTAATTTAATTCCCTTTTTCAAGATTATTAATGCTTTGTTTTTTCTCTCTTTGGTTTAGGATTAAGCAGTTTTAATTTCCTGTTCTCTGCAAACCAAGCCCCCGGTGCCATCAGCCTGGCTGCAAACCAGCTGCCTTCTCTAAGTGTACCCTGTGTCATGGTGCCATCAGCAGCCTTGGCTTCCTTCCCTCTCGTCTGTTCTCCTTCGTTCACCAGTCCTCTTTCCTCAGTTCCTGATGGCTCCTTCTCAGCTGCTGCCTCCACGAATTTCAGCATGTCCAGCCTGGCACCAACCACCCCTGTGTTCATAAGCACCACGGCCGTTGTCACCCCCCAGGTCTCACCCGCCCCTTCGGCGGATCCACAGCAGCCGGCTCCCCCTGCTCTGCACCAGAGTCCTGTGCTTACAAGATCTGGCAGTGCTGTTAAGCTGGACTCCCCTGTGTGTGTGGGACACTCTCTGACCCTTCTGAAGCTGCAGCAGGTAAGGGGGAAAGGTGGGCAGGAGTGCTGATGAAGGAGCTGGGTCAGCTGCCTGGTGGCGGCACGTGCCGCAGGCTGGTATCAGTGCCGAGTTGGCACGCTGACAGCTGGTGTCTTCCACTGAGCTTGTGCATGTGCATCTCAGGGGAGGCACAGGGGGTGGGACACTGCTGAAGTCATAGCCCAGCATAGCATGTTTAGTACTGAACAGTGAAGTGGGTTTATAACTTACAAAAATTCTAAAATCCCCCAGCAGTCTAAAGTTTTTTCCCCCATCTGACAGTGTCACTATGTGTTATGCAATGGCTACAGAAAAACATTAGGAGGATAGGAGGGTTGTGTCAGAATTCTGGAATCAGCTGGTTGCAACAGTTTTCAGGTAGTAGTGTCCTGAATTATCCCCTCAGCCCTGTTCTGATCTCTCTTCACTCTCTTCTGATCCACTGTAATGGATAAGGGTACAGGGATTAATGCCTCCCAGCTGTCCTCTGTTTGCCTGCTTGTGTCTGGACTTTGAGAGAACTATGCTGAATCACTTCGGGTCATGTTTTTTTTGTTTGTTTTTTTTTTTTTTTTTTCACAAATAGCCTTCGTCAGCTCCTCTCACTCCCAAGAGTATTCGTCCTGCACATAATGAGGCATTTTTCAAAACTCCTGGAAGTCTTGGAGACCCTGTGGCATGGAAGAAAAATGAAGGCAACCAGACCAGAAATGCCAGCTCTGTGCAGAGGAGACTGGAAATCTCTGGTACCAGCCCTGACTAATTCCACTCTTGGCGAGGGGTGGGCAGATTGTCCTCAGACCCTGTATCAATTACAAGAGAACAAGCTCTTACCTGACAAGAGGAGCACGTTAAAATGTCACCCCTTTGGCATGCTTCCCCACTGTCTATTCACCCACTGGTTCTGTTGGCCATCTTCTTCGAAATCACCCTTGGTACAGAAATCCTTTTATTGAATTGTTCCTTCAGTACAGATTTGAATCCAGATTTTGGGTTTCACACAGCCTTGTGGACATCAAATTGTAATTGTGATTTTAATTTGGAAAACTCTCTTGATTTCTGTGAGGAGACACAAACAAATTATTTTGGAATCCCCAGGGGTTCTTTATTCATGGTTTTAAGTGAGATGTGTAGCACTCACCTGGGGTAAGCATTTCTTTTGCATGTATTCTACTTACCCTGAGTAAATCTGTGGTGAAAATGATAAACTCTTGCACTTGTGACAGCAACTGCTTCCTTGGTTCCAAGCTATCTAAGCCTGCCTCTGCAGTGCAGCCTCTTGCTTTTTATTTTGTATATTGGAGTGGGATTAGTGCAAAAAAGGATTTTTGCCGTTTCAGAATAACAGATTTTCTCAGGGTAGGATTACTTGAATGTCAGTTGGTTGTGGTACAATTTGCCCAGCCCTTGTGGTTAGAAAAACGTAGTAATAACACAGTATGATTGAATGTATACATGTGAAAAATATTAAGACCAAAATAACTGTGAATGTTAACATTTTTATAGTTGTGTTAATGAACTGTATTAGTCCTTGGGTTGGTTGTTTTGTTTTTGTTTGTACTTTTACTTTGAACAAAATTTGCAAGTTAGATGTAAAGAAAACAAAATCTGAATCCTTTATCAGATTTGACAAAGTGATTTGAGAGAGACAAACCACTGAGAGGACTGTGCTAAGATTTCATCTCCTGTTTAAATATCTAGTCTAGACTTTATGACTAAGGAACACTGATAAGTCATTAACCTCACTCATGATTAGATTCAGTCTAACCTGAGTCTACTAAGTGCCTACTTAGCTGTTTACTTAAGTGTACTTGAGGGGTGTGTACTTGAGGGGTATGTACTTAAGTGCCTAACTCTTCACTTGCAGGAACTTTGTGACTAGTTAATAGTGCTTTTGAGCATGTTGGGAAGACAAGGGAGATCTTATCTATCTAAAACAGAAAAAGAGGTTGAAAAGAGCAGGAGCCTTGAGTTTTAAAGTAATATAAAAAATTAATAAAAAATTATCAGTATACCCTAGGAGAAGATAATGAGGAAGAAAAGTCTTAACAGCTCCCATTCAGAGTTCTCAAATAATAGATGGTGCTATTATCAATATAGGATATAATTTTAAGAGCTAATGCTCTTATGTTTGGGTATGTTTTCACTAATGTAGCAAACTGCAATTAAATTTGTGCAGTCTCCTGTTCAAAAGACAGAAAGTGTTGCTGTAGACATCACGTTAGCCTGGACTTTTAGCAAATGTAAGGCCAGCATGATCAGCTCTCTCTTTGGTACTGGTATTGATTTTCCAAGGGTAGATGCACTCTTGGATGTGCTTTTTTGTTGGTCAAAGGAAGTTAGGACTTTGAGGCTGGGGATTTGATGAGGGCATCTTATTTTTATAATGAAAATAAAATTTAAGAAAGAATTTTAGTGAACCTGAGAGTTTGAGTAATGTGGCCTTCTCTTAGAATAGACCAATATCAGATTTTTGAGAGGGCTTGGTTAGCCCTGGTTGAAACAATCTGGAGCAGAATTATCATAGGAAATTTCAGGGGTGGTAAAGAGACATCTTCAGACTGCTAATTTATTTTTTTTTATATTTTAATGACACTACAGTTATGAAAGTTTACATTTTTTTCTTCTGAATTATTTCTTCTTATACACCCACTTAGATTAATTTTGCTTTGAAAAGCAGTGTGTAACTAGCACATGCTGGTGTGCATGTGTTGCTGCTGGGGCAGGAACAGGCTGCTGGGGTTCTCTCTCCCTCTAGTACGATGCAGCCTTTTAGTGAAATGGCAGCTGGGAGCAGGAGGAGGATTAGAGCTAATATTGGCTCTTTGCTCCAGTTGAAGCATCATCACCAAAACTGCCTTTCTTTGTCAGTGATGTTACTGTGCCATAACTAACTTAACTGTACTTGAAAATGCAGGGAGTGAAAATGGATTTTCCATTTCTAATTTCTTCTTACAGTTTTGAGTTTCTGTAAATACAGCAGGTCTGGAAATGAGGATTGACTCCTTCTTCTCAGTGACTCATGGCTGGGAAAGTAGGTTTTGAACCTAGGAGAAAAAGGATGTTGATATGCTGTCTTGATTTTGTCAATGCAAAATTCTCACTAAAATAGAGTGAGACCACTGAAGCAGTTGGGCAGCTATGTTCTGTACCTGAGCTGCTGAACTGGACTGGTGATGGGGAGCAGTTGGCTGTCAAGGGGGAATGGGTTTACCTTTCCTATCTTTACCTTCACTGAAAGCTAAGAATTTAAATGACCTATGAACAATTCATCAGCAAAGTAGCTTTGGAAAAGCAGAATTTGTATTTGCACTGAGACAAAGTGCATACCCAGGAAATTCTGCAGGGTTTGTGAAACCTTTCTGTCCCAAGTCAGTTGTTGAGGAGGCTGAGCATATAACTTATACTTGAATCTATCTGCCACGTTTACATTTCTGATTGTTTTCTGTAAATTGGTGCTATTTCTGTATTTAAAAAGCTGTATTTTTAATGTAAAGCTGCTTCCAGTTTGTTTTTGGGTTTGTTTTTTTTTGCACTGCTAGTTTAATATAGACATTAATTTTATTGCTGTTTATAACTGTTCTTTGGTGATTAGATGTCCTGCTTTTCCTGCTCTCTAGCTATCTGTTTACCTGTCAGCATATAGCTTTACTCCAATCACACTGTTGGATTGACTATTTTTTATACTATCTGTTAGCAAAAATATTAAACTTCTACAGAATAAAAAATGAACTTAAAACTGAGGCTCTCATTTCAGTATGGAAGACTTTCAAGGACACCCTTAAAAGAAGTATTCCTGCACTACATGTCCAGGTGAGGAATCTTAGTTGGATGTGATCACTGAAGGACTAGCAGAGAGGATAACAGCTCGCCCCAGTGGCTCCATCACCCAGCTATTGCATGCAGCATGGGCACAATTCCCGCCCAGCTGTTGCAGGCACAAGGACCAGTGCAATGTAAATTGGCTCCTAAGGTCCTGGAGCAGGCCAGGGCAAGACTGGGTGACCCTGGCCCAAAGCCGTGCCAGGTGATCCTCAGCTGGGCACCACGGGAGCCAGCCCAGCCCAGCCCAGGGGCCTGCCCAGCCGCACGCTGCTGACACCCCGTGTCCCTGCAGCCGTCCCTCGGTCCTGCTCTCCACAGGAGGGCAGCAGTGCCTGCCCGACTGCGGCCCCGACACCCGAGGAGCTGGTGCTCGCTTTGCGTCCTTAGAACCACCAGCTGCTTGGAGAGAGCAAGTGGACAACAGCTGCAGACCTGTGGCTTCCTCTTCCCGTTCTCCTGCCCCTCCCTAGCCACACACGTAAGACACAGCTCGACCAAAACTGAGTTTGCTCATTTCCATTAAAATCAACGGCAGGTTCACTATTGATTTCGGCAAGCCCAGTGTTGCCACCTTACCCTCCCCGGGATTAAAGTGGTGTGAATTAATGCCCCGTGTTACCAACAACAGCTTTAAAATGACTGTGAGTTGCAAAGGGTTGAGGTTCTCAAAAATAATTTCTAAAAGGAAAACTCAGCAGTTCACTCAGTGTTGTTTTTGGATTTTTTCTGACCTGCTTCTCCAACAATAATACCTTTCCCTTTCAATTGATACAGAACAATTAGAAGTTTAATAAGATTAAATACATTATGAGAATCACTAACAAGCCCCAAGCCTGCTCTAGCTGCATTGATGGGACCATGGCCATCATTTCCTTGAGGAGGAGGAAGGCTGTATCCTCCAACAGTTCTTGTCCTCACTGGTGCACTTGGAACTCCCTTTTTTTGAAGTAAAAAATAGGGGAGTACACCAAACTCCATCTCGTTCATTTCTCGCTATGAAAAAGGAAAATTAACCAGCAGTACCATTGTGGATGAATGTCCTACTGCTTCCCAGCTTGGGCTGGGCAGTCCAGAGCCAGCTGGGAGAGACCCCCTCGTGCTGGAAGGTGTTGAGCACTGCCAGCAAACCCAGCCAGAGGCAAGCAAAAGGGAATCCTCCAACAGGCAGTGAAGGAAAGCCTGCTTCCAACATGGCTAGGGAAGCAGGTCTTCACCAGCTGTCTTGGTCAACGAGGAGGGTTGTCTTAGAGGCGCTTGGGTCATGGCAATGCTTTCTCCTTCCAGCCCAGAGCTCCTGAGCAAGGCTCCATGGCCTGCTTAAAAATTTAAAATTTAATAGCTTAGAATGTAAAGGAGTGAAAAGAAGGGCTACACACAACTGAGGCAAATTCAAGCTGTGCTGACTGCGATCATCTGAGAAGATCCATGTGTGCAGGAAGCATTAGTGTCCAGCTTCTTTCCAGATTCATTTATTACATGAGAAATACGATGAGAATTTAGGATATTTTTTCAAGCAGTTTCTTCAAGGATTCCTAGAGCGATGAAATTAATTCTAATCACGTCAGTCAACACCAGCTTAAGTTCTGAGAGCACAAAGCCTTCCCCCATTCCCCTTGCAGGCCATGGTAACTTTGTTTGTGGGTGGCAAAAGCTGCATTGCTTGTTCACAAAATCCTGGGACCTCCAAGTCTGCCATCACCAGACCTCCTAGGAGACAAAACCTTCTGCCTCAGCTGGAGCACCTCCATTTTACTGCATTTTCCAAATAAATAAATTCTCATTATGGCCCCAGATGCCAGGCTTTTATGCCTTTCCCCTGCCTCTGGCTGGGTATTTCTCGCTCTGGATGTGACAACAATGTAATTTCATAGATGATGTAGCAAATCTGGGTGGGAGGGGAGCATGAAACTTGTTTTTTTCCAACAGCCGCTTTCTCGTTTCAAAACTGACAACTATGAACCAGCAGTTTACACTCGGATCCCCCAGCATGGTGTGATTGCAAAGACAATGCAGAGAGACCAAAAAAACTCAATATATGTAAAATACTGCATCTTGGTAAGTGCCTGTAACAGCAACTGAAATGGGCCAAGTTGGACCAAGTTTAATCTTTTGGGAAGAAAAGGGAAACTATTTAAGCCTAGAAAATAAGAAATAGATATAAAGATCCCACAATAAACTGTCCAGAAAGAAACATCTCCCTTATTTGGGCAGCCAATTCTTCAGCACTAAAGAAAATGCTTTGCCTCTGTAGTCTCTGCATCGCACTGAGGTAACCAACCAGCATGTAGTTTAATCACCCTACACCCCTTCAAAATCTTGATTAAATGGTAACAATTTCTTCTGTGCCTGAAAGGCACCAGGAATTAAATGAACATAAGGTAGAAGATGTTAGGGAGGAGTTGACTGGAGCTCTGCTCTGATGCTTGCTCCAAGTAATGACAAAATCCCCCACTTGGCAGCTCACCTACCTTAGGGTTTTCATCCCTGATGTACTGAAACTAGGATGTTTGGAAGATGATGGTTAAAAATGTCTCTACAGACACTCTAGGCCTAAGTGGCAAAGACTCAAACACTCGTGTTCTTCTCTGCCTTTACAGTAACACAATGGCAGTGATTTCACTGGACTCACTCTTGGTCTGCCTTGGCCTGAAGGGGAGGAGGGTCAGTCTCCTGGTTCTGGAGTTCTTGATTCTGCCCATTATCTACTGCACTTCACTGAGCAAAGCAGTCTTTGACTTCTCTAAATCCAGAGAAAGCGCCCAGGAATATCACCTGGCCCCACAAGAGTTCAGGATCTAACTTGTGGATGTGGAGAAAAATGGAAAGAGTGAAGGGAGCAGCCCTGTTGAACTGGTTAATATACTCACTGATTCGAAAATAATTTTTAAAATAATTTGGGGGTTTTCTGCTCAGCCTTGCTTGGGTCTTCCCATTATTTGGACTTGTCAGAGTCTGCTAGCTTGGGACAGCATCAAAACCTGCCCTTGTGCTCCTGCAGTACAAGCCTGATGGTCGTGGTGTGACCTTACCTTGCTGTCTGATCATTGATTTTTAATGTAAGATTCCACTCCATCATGTGTGCAGAAATCACATAATTTTAAGCCCTTATGCATATAAGACATTTACAAATTTTTTGACATTTTCAAATGCATTAGAAAAAAGAGTATTTTTAGAGGCTGAGAAAGCAAAAGCTCTTTCCAGCATACACAATTAAAGAGGAAAAGATGTTTCAGGGAATATATTTTGGTATAATCAGATAACTATGCAATGCCCTGCCAGAGTAGCCAGGGCTGAGCTCCAGGAGCCTCTGTAGGGGATAAAAGGATTCACTTAGGCGCCAGCCTCCCTCCTGCCCTGTTAAGAGTCTCTCTGGGCATCTCTTCAAGTTAAGGCAAGCTGCAAAGTCCTGCACAACCCTAGCAAATTGTTATCTCTGGGAAAAAAAACAGCAGACTGGAAGAAAGCAATAGACCACCAGCCTTTTCCTAGCAAAGTCTTTGCTGTCTGTTATTTTTAAAGATGACTGTAAACCTCCCCTTGGCTTTCTCAAGACATGAGCTTAATTAAAGAGAGTAAAATGAGTCTCAAAGGTTCATAAACCTTTTAAGTCTGTTGAAGCTCAGAAAATCTTGGTCTGGATTATGATTTTGCACAGAAAAATGTTATTTTTGTAATTCTATGCAAAATTGGGTCATACTTATTTGCTCTGTTTCATTTTCAAGGAGGGATTCTGCTTGGCCAATATTAAAAGAAAAATGAGATGCAAGGACAAGTAGCAAAAATCCCTCCCTGAAATATCTCCCCATGCAGGGCTATGAGGCACCAACAAGGTCTAAGGCATGACACCAGCCTGGATCCTTCTCCTTCAGGCGAGTCCACTTGTGGCAGGGCAGAGCATTGGCTAGCTGCTCCCCAGGGAAGGATAGCTGGGAGCCAAGGGTGGCAGCAAGGCTGGTGGAGGCAGCAGCCTCAGCAGCCAGGAGCTGCAATGCCCGTGAGGTCTGGGCCCAGAGACAGCAGCCATGGCCAGATGCAGCCCAGCAATCACCCAGCTCAGCCACCAGGCTGCTCTGAGGCCCAGCCAGAGGCTGAGCCCGGGCACAGCTGTGACCCAGCTGCCATGCAGCCTGGGTGAGACCAGCCATAAAGCTGAAAAGCAGCTGCTTTTCATAGAAAATAGGGACAGGGTCTCACCCTTAGCTCTCTTCACCACAGCCCTTTTCAGCAAAGGAGCCCACCTCAGACTCGGCCAGCGAAGCTCCTCAACTTAGCCAATGACATGTCTGGACCAGGGATGACTCCAAGACAATGACTTTAACATGCCATTCAAGTTCAGGTGAATAACCAAAAGGCTAAAATTAACTTAATTCTGCAGAGCCACGTCCACACAGATGCAAAAGCTTGATCATATTTTCCAAAGGAAATTGGCTTCTGTTGTGTGAGAGTAGATTCCAAGATAGGGAGAAAGGTTAAAATGGCTCTGTTCAATCCAATAGTGTGCTAATGAGACAAAGTGATTAATTACACCTCTGTAATGAGAAAGAGATTGTGTAAAGGCTTGAATCAGCTTTTACATATCGCCTTGTAAACTGACACCATGTTCACATATACCTACTGGCATTTCTGGGCTCTAATTACTGGTGTTTCTCTGTTAAACCAGTGTAATTAAGAGGGAGAGAGACTGTTCTTGTCTTGGGCTCCTCCTTGGCCAAAGGGAGCCTGGCTGAGAAGATTAATCATAACCAGATGGGAGTAAAAAGAACTTCCCCCTTCAGCAGTACTTC